TATACAACTTTATTTTTTTATTTTTCAGAAATTCAAAAATGCCACCAAATAACCTCTCAGGTTCACAAAATAAAAAAATACGATAGCAACGACTTGCTGCCGTTAAACGTAATACCACAGCTTATACAATACAGCTAAAACACTCTCTTGGCGGCAACGGTTTGCGTCGATTCCGTCGCGCATTGCTTAAGCTCCTCATTCGGACGGAAAAGACGGCTTTGGCGTTCAGAAACGTACTTAGGTAAGGATTGAGTCATGCGTATAATTTCGTCGATTACATAATTTCGTTGAGCCTATAATTTCGTTAATATTGTTTGAGCTACCTGTTGTGTTAAGTTAAAGGTACTGTTATTATTTTGGTGACTCTTTAACTGTGAGTAGAATGAGTGAAAAAAAAAGACATCATTCTGTCTGTGCAGTCAAAAGCTGTTTTAATAAGGGTTATACCTGCAAGAAAACAAAATATACATTTAAATGAGTTATTTTTGTGTAGACTCGATAAATACTAGCATTTTTGTTTGTATGTGATCTACATTTTGAAAAAAAAAATTAATAGAACTACATGATACTAATTTAATTACGAGTATTAAAACTAAAATCCTAAAAGTGTCAGTGAAGATGAGGACAGAGCATCTGCCTTCCACGAGAAATGCCCGGGATCTAATCTAGGCCGGGGACTAATTAAATTAATTTTTTTTTGTTTATTTTATAAATTAGTAAAATTCGTAAATTATTTTAAAATTAGTTATTTTGTCTAAATAACCTAAAATAATTTATTTTAATTTGTAGATTTTCGTCAGTGGGTCGTAGAAAAAATATACTGTACAACTCAAGTGGATTGTCCATATGCACAAACTACTATTTATTTGTTTTCTTGATTTAATATTTACATCAGTAAATGGGAACTAAATTAATTTACTTTTCGAATTTTCTTGTAAAAATCGATATTACTTTCTCCAAGTACAAATTTAGTACCTACCTAAAATAGGTACTAATTATATAATTTCGCATAATATTGTAATTTAAATTTCACATTACTATCAAGTTTCAAAATTCTCTACTTCAGTACGGTCAGATAAAAATATAATATATAAATAAAAGCTGTCAAATTATTACTTCAACAAATCTTTATGAATAAAAATACATCTAAATAAAACCGATATTGTTAAAATAAAAGCACAAGTTACCGATTCTTTATAATAACCCAGAATATCATCGAGTTCCCAGACCTCAGTCAGTCGAAGCAGTCGTTTATCTAGGTAAAAACACTATTATAAACACTTTGCGCGATGAGTGACACTTGCTAGACACACGGGGTACCACTTGATTTACATCCACGGCCACAATTTGTCGTGAAGTGACTGTTTTAGCTCAAAACATCTGTTAACAATGATATTACTAGGCACATACAAATTATTTTATCTCTAATCCGAAAGATGTGCTATTATTCGTAATATTTATATTTAAATAATTTTTTTATTTATATTTGACAGATTTAAAACAAATTTAAAACTTAATTTCTCAAAACTTACTTAATGTGGCATGTAACCAACTTTATTACGCCAAGGTCTTCAATTATTTCAATAATAAATATATTTTTTAATCCGGGCCCGACTTTTCCGTCGAATCTAACAGAGATAGCACCATTCCGTCTCGCTTGGTTCTCGACCGCCACATCAAAGACGCCGACACGGAGTTGTGGAGCTGTATTGTATAAGCTGTGGTAATACAGGCGATATTTCAAAGTTTCTTTTGCCAATCTCTTCTGCCATATCTGAGAATAGTGAACGACTTATCAGCAGATAGTGAAGATGAAATGGTCGAAATACAAAACCAAGAAGAAAGCTAAGAAATAAAAAGAGGTATATTTACATCTGAGAATGTAAATGAAAAATTAATGGAAAATGAAAATGTAGATCCTGAACCACAATCACCTGAACAGATGATTATAAACATATTTGCTGAAATTAAATCTAGAAAAGTTTTATTTTAAGTTGAATATTGAATATGTCATTATGTGATTAAAACCAAATATTTTTTTTAGATCAGAGAATATATTTTTAGTTTTTTTATTTTTAGATTACTTATTTGACATTTTTAGTTTTTTTGTTCTTATGTCTGTTTTTATTAAAATGAAATACGAGTATATATTTCATCAGCTTTTTAATTTAGGTTGGGAGAGGCGCACAATTTATGATTTGCCACAGGCGCCAACAAGTCTAGTTACGGCTCTGGTTTTAAAGCACGGGGAAAATGCCACAGTATGTGTCATTTCAATGGTCCATGTTCTAATTAATAAAATATGCTTATAGTCTTTTATAGATAATTATTGATAGAGAAATAGGTACGGGTTTGTTGAATTTTCTTCTATCTTCATAAATATTTTAGTAGGCAACCCAGCAAAACCGTATTTCTGCATCAATAATGATCTATAGAAATTGTATTTTGATTAAAATATAGTGCAGAAATCATACGGTCGGACGAAGACTATTATTGGTTTTTTTAAGCTTGACAAGTGTTGTTATATCTCATGTTCATTTCGTACATCCGATGCAACAACATCGTAAGTGCAAAAATCAATTTTTCCTACGACCACTTAGGAAAGTGACACATATCACAGTATATAGACCTATGGAAAGTGCCCTATATCACACGCGTATGAATAAGAATTTACTTTCCACCCAAGTGAGAATATGCTACTTTCCGCAGTAGCTGTCAGAAAATGTCAAACACATAATTTCTATTTTGATCTATGTAATGTCCATATTAATACTAAAATCGATATGATTGTTAAATTATTGTAAATTAGATCCTAGATATTTATCTTTAACAATTATTTTTAAAATAATTTTAAAATAACTAAGATATATTTGCTTTTTATTCTGGTTAAACACATAAGCGATTAGATCAATCAATTACCGTAAGGCCTGTTAGCTCAGTTGGTTAGAGCATCAACTTTGCAATTTGAGACCGTCCAACGACCGCGATCGAATCCTGGCTGTGCCAGAATTTTTTTTTTTATTTTTTTTTTATTTTTTTTTATTTTTTTTTATTTGTTTAGAAATTATGAAAATTTAATAAATACGATTATTGTTGATTATTTTTTTAAATACATTTTAATTATTATAATAATCTGGTTTTACATTTTTTGATGAAATTATTTTGTGGTCGTAGGAAAAATATTGTACATCACTTGTGTGAAAAGTGATTTTCCACACTCGTAATGTAATATACTATTGCTCGTCATAAACTAAAATGTATTAAAAGTCAAATGACTGAATAATTTATCATTTATTGTATATGTTATATTTACCACATTGCTGTACCAGATATAGAAGCAGATTAGGCGTATTTTGTGACTAAAAGTCACTTTCTAATGTTTTTGCACTTATGACGTTGTTGCACCGGATGTGAGTTTTGTTCTTCAGTTTTATTTGTTCTGTTTATAAGAAAAATATATAAAATATTTGATATGTTTTAATTCTATTAAAATTTTGATGGCCCTAACTTTAAAGTAAAATTTGTATTTTATAAAACGACTAAAACATTTCACCCGCCAGAATGCCGCGTGTTGACCGTCGTTTTATAAAACACCTATGCATTTTACAATCTGACTAGCCAGATTGGAAAATAATATGAAGGTTAAACGAGAATTTGACAATCTGGCCGCCTTTTGTAAAATGTCTAAACATTTTATAAAACGACGGGTTTTACAATTTGGCTACGACATATACATATAATACCCAGAGATATTACATACTTGAAATACTTAAATAAATCACCCAAGACCATTTCTCAGATTTATTTTAGCAGCGCACTTTTGTTAAGTTGAAATCCCCAGCAAGGGATACTTTTCTAAGGTAAAGATAGAACCTTTTACTTAAATATCTTCTCCTGAATGCTTTACAAACTTCTTAACTCTAAAAGGCTCTTGTTTTCTTCTTTAAAATGATTTGTAACTATGTAATTTTGTCTTTTTTGCTCTTGGTTGTTTTTAACGTTTGTAAGAAACCATCTAGTCTGCTTTTAAATGTAGGGAGGACAAAGCTGCAATTAATTTAAAAATGTTGAATGACATTTGCAGAATAATTACTCTTAAATCTTACCATTAGTCTTTAATTTTAGTTCAGACTCAGTCCCTTTATTTATTCTAAGATTTTTGTGCGTAAACAGTAAAAATTGTTTGCCAACAGCAAAACTACGGCTCCCTCCAGGCTTGCCAAAATTTCAAAATATTTCGGGATATAAACAAAGTTTGATCCGAATTTAGCAAGGAGGCCATACCCTAATCCAAAATGTTTAAAATAAACCATTCGCACAATAATATTTCTCTTTATAATTCAAATAAAAAGTAATTCATTTGAAATTTGATGGAAACCATTACACGATTTTTCCATGCCGTTTTGTGGCTTGTCTTTTAAAAAATCAAATTACCGATTTTATAAAAACTCCATCTCAGGTGTATAGTCCAAAAATAAAAATATAAACACCACCAAATTTAATAAAATGAGATTTTTTAAAAAACTAATGTACGAACCGCAGTAGAATATTTTCTGTCAACTCGATTTTGCATTCCGTGACGTCACAGCTTTCCTTAGCAACGGACGAAGAGGCCACCGTGGTGTCTACGAACCGTGGGCCAGAAAGCTGTCAATTGCTTTATCCATATGTCACAATATGAAAATTGTTGATTTTTAAAATTCAATTTAAATTAAAAATTTTAAAAATAACATCTCTTATTAATTAGAATGTATAATTTTTGACTTCAAAAGATTTATTTATTAGTACTTCTTACTTTTTCTTCAATAGTTTTATGCATATAACCAAAATAGTTGTAAATAATCAAATCAAATTAATCATGCAGATTTCATTTTAAAAATCATCAATTTATTTTAAATTAGACAATATAAGTAGGTATATCTGCCTATATAAAAGTTATTACGGGTAACGCCATTTTGGAATAATAAATGACAAAATAATTTATTATTTATCGTTTTTAGATTTAGTAAATTAAAAGATGCCATGGTGTTTCATAGACGATTACGATGAAAATAATTTCAAAGACTATGACCTATCCGACTTGGTTCTGGATCAATTTTACTTGAACATTAACGTTGAAAATTCTTCTGGACACGAAGATGTATATCTATATACATTAAATAAGGAGTGCTATCAGGTAATCAAGATTGCAAGTCCCCGTAGCCTCGTCAAAATTGGGATGTTGTGAACCGCAAATTTTCATTATTTATGTCTTTGAGACATTTCTGATTCATTTCTGATACCCATACCCAACTTATCATCTCTAAGGGGGTTATGATTGACAACCTCTGTTATTTTTAACAGGTCTGTTGTTTTATTAACACACAGAAATCACAATCTGTTCACAAATAACATGTCTGTTAAAAATAACACTACTTGTCCATCATAACCCCTTAGGTTGTGTTCCGCAAAATTTCACTAGTTGCTTCCTGTCATCTTCTGTCTTTGGTGCATTTCTGATTCATTTCTGATATCCATAAAGTCGTTATGTATCAACTTATTGTAACGTTGTACGAGTTCTTTAAAAAAAAATGTGTCATAATGAATGACCGATAATTAAATCACTTAGAGCCTCAATCATGTAAGGACTCCATTACTTCAATTTGGCTTTGAGCTCTTAACTATATAAGGGTTCTATTCTTGATACAAGAACCTAACACGTCCCTGTAAAAGTGCCGAAGAAAACAAAGTGTTCTCAAAACATATATAATATTATAATTAAAACAGTTATACAAAATATGTCACAACTGGAAATATACAAATACGGGGCTCAATATAATTATTACAAATATATAAAATATCAACTCATTAACTCCAATACTGGGCACATCTCACAACCCTTGACTGACTAATAATACGATTGAAATACAAAAAATACTTTAAATTATCACAATAGAGATCCAGAATCTCCAGTCGAGTTTCTGTGATCTGAAGCCGCTACTGGTAGTCTCCTACAAGGGAGGTCCTGTTATGGGGAGGATTCTGTCTGTCAATGGTGTGTCCCGCAAACTTTCACTAATTGCCTCCTGCCATATTCTGTATTTGAGGCATTCCTGATTCATTTCTGATACCCATAGAGCCGTTATGTATCGACTTATTTAGTTTCTCTAATAGCTTTTTTGCGCAATCACTATATCACTGATACTAGATGACATGAAGGGAATTTCTTCCATGATATTATGTAGTTCTTAAACGGAACCATTTAATTGTTTTAGTGCCCGTACCTGTTAACTTCCTACTGCAACGGCTCGATTCAAAAGTGTAATGGAGACGAGGCTAAAAATATTTTTAGTACGGACCTCACGTTCAGACTGTCCACGGTTCATTCGGAATATTTTCCTGCGGATCAAAAGAACAATGTTATTTGCGATATCAACGAACCATTTGGACAATTCGGTATTTATAATGTAAATGTCAATAGATCGGGATGTTTCGTACAAACTATCAAGGAATCTGTTAATATTTATTCGCGTAAGTATAGGTTAGACATCAATTTCCAATTTAAAAAAAGTATTTCTGTAATTATATTACTTTAAACAATTATATATCATTAACAAATATCAAAAACGTCAATGGCCCTAAGTTGGAACATTGATGGACTCCATTTAGTTTCGTTATAAAGTCTGTATATATTGTTTTTAATCTATTTTTAGCCATTCTGACTGTTTGTCTTATATATCTTGGACTATTCTTGTTCACATATGGATTGTATTTCTGTTGGAAGAAGTACAACTCAAAAAAATTAGACAAAGATGATCAAGTTGAACCAGATGTTCCGAAAAAAGAAAGAATTCAGTCGTTGGATACGTTTAGAGGGTAAGTGCAATTAAAATAAGTACATAGATGTTTCTACTTTTTAATTTTTCTTTAGTTTTGCTATTATTCTAATGATATTCGCAAACTATGGACAAGGAGGATATACTGTCATCGAGCATGCGCGTTGGAATGGTCTTCATGCTGCTGATTTGGTCTTTCCATCTTTTTTGTGGATAATGGGAGCTTGTATTCCTATTGGTATGGTGTCTAATTTCAAAAAACAAGTTTCCAATAAAGATATGATCATTAACGTAGCTAAGGTAATTTCCAAATAGATCTGAATTAATAAATTACAAGATATAATTCACAACAATAATTTCCAAGGCAAACTCTGCTCATTATACCCAATGCACCGGAGTGGGGTAAAATACTTGTCAATAGGCTTGTTTAAAAACTTTTGTTTATATTTTGTTTTATCAGTGTAGATGCTTCGAGCATCGAGCTTATATATGCTCGAAGTGTAGATGCAATTTGATTATTCTTTGTGACATAATATAATAAATGATAATTAATAAAAAATAAATGTCGCCAAGTCAAGAATTAAAATAAAAAGATTGATACAGTCAGTCCACTTACAATTATTATTTAACCATTTGAACCAGTAGTTTACAGTTTAAACAAGGCTTGAGATGCGACTCTATGGGTACAGCCATTTTATTTTTCATCTCACTCGGGAGTATTTATAATAACCATTTTCTATTTCATATTGTTATTGTCTGATCCACTAGATTGTGGACAGGCCAATAACAATGTGAAACAGAAAATGGTTATTATAAATACTTCCGAGTGAGAACTATAAAAATGGCTGCGCCCATAAAGTCGCTCCTAGTTCTATGCGCTAGTTCAGTGTGATGTCATTTTGGTTCTACTGACATTTAATTCTAACCAAACTTTTAACAAAAACATCAATAAATTTGACATATACGTTTTTACTGTTTTTATTTTATTTCAAAATATTGCTTCCAGGTCATAAAAAATAGTTTAAAGGTATGTAATTGGTAACTAAACGATTGTATATTTGATACATGCTATCTACTTACTTTAGGAATATATTTATAAAAGTGAAAAAAATGATATAATTTAGGTAAACAAAACGAACAAAACGCACTCAAAAAATCTACTGTCACTTTAATTGTCAGTGGAACCATAATTACATCATCACTGAACTAGCGCATTTATACAACTTGCAAATTGGCATTCTACCCCACTCCAGGTCATCGATTTATCGATTATACCTAGCGACATAGATAAATTAATATTAAAAGATAAACCGTTTATATGCACGGCACTGGTAACAAGTGGTAGTTCCCAGCCATACTACTTGGAGCCACCATCGCACGCTACACATTTGGCTGATTAACTTAACAGTTAGAGTCAACATAAAAGAAGAAAATTAATAAGAAGAGTGTCAAGCCTAAACGCGGCTCATTCAAATGTCCTTTATTATTTATTTACATTTTTTTGGCATTCATTACTTTAAAAAAACTAATATTTACATTAAAATACTGTATTTAACATAAATATTAGTTTTTTTAAGTAATAAAACTCCAAAAAATATAAATTAAAAATATATATTTGAAACAACAGGTATATAGGTATAGTTTAATCATTTAATAAAAGTAAGGTGCCATTAAACTTTTATTACATAAATAACATGTACAAATAACAACTGTAAGTGAAATTAATAGTATTCTCCTCTCATTCTTGGAAAACTGGACCAAATTTTGAGAGGTTTCCTATAAAAACAAAAAGTGTACATACCTAATTACATCTTATTGAACAATTTTTCTTACGAAAATGTTGTCCTTATAAAAAAGTTATTTTTAATTTGTCTAAAATTAGTTTATAGAAAAAACTTTCAGTTTATTTCTCATAGTGCAATAGCCGATTTGAATTATATTTTAACTAATCTGTTCTAGTTGATCTAACAAATTTTGAGTTTTTGACTTTTCATTTTTAACAGAGGGTTGTTTAAATTGTTTATCACTAATACTAAGTTTACGTTTGCAAATAATTTCTTGTTTTTCTTTGCAGATTAGCAAATCTATCTTATGCTACTGTGTATGTGCTTCAGCCTCAACATTTTCTAAAATCTGACTGTTTCGGTTGAGTATTTAGTTGAACTGGATGTACTATTAGCTTATAAAATTGGTACAGAATTTGCAATTAGTCGTTTACGTTCTGAAGCAATTTTACTAAAAGAATCTGGCAAAAATGATCTTCACAAAGATAGCGAATTTTATTATCTAAAGATAAAATGTAAATTCTTAAAACAGTTTTCGCGAATTTTAATATCGAAAGGAAAATGAAAAAAGGTTTTATTTGAATAACCAGCCTGCTGAATATTAGAATAATACTTATTTAAATTAAGGGGCTGAAAAAGATTACTTAATTTTACCAGGGCCAGATATATGTTTTGTTACAAATAGGTATATTAAAAAAGAATTGAAAATCGATCCAAAATGAAATTATACTTCGTTAAGGCTATAAGAAAATGATAAACAAAGTCCTCAAACAAATCTAACACGATTAAATTATATTGTTAATACTTACTAATTTCATCAAATCAGCACTTATCAATCTTCTTAACCTAATAATAACTTACCTATCGAAGGATAATTATATCCACATCATAATAACTTTTATTGTATGATGGTTTTTCTGCATTTTTCGACCATTTCGCCTTCCTTCCGTCATTCTGTTCTTCATTTTTAACGAGGTTATCAACACAATTGCCAAACCTCTCTTTAAAATATCTCAGCAATAGTATTGCTGCGTTTGAGAATCCACATCGGATGCATTTTTTACATCTCGAGCGTTTTTTTATCCACATCGGACACACTGTCCCATTACATTTACGTATACTGAACCACGTGATCAAAGATTTTTTACATCTCAGATGCATCCGATGTGGATTCTCAAACGCAGCATTTGGCCATTGTATGGACCACAAAGCATGTATCTTCTAGAGACCCCACGCCAATGTTAAACTTTTAAACCAAATTAGCGCCACCTTGTGTTTGGAGCTGGAACTAAAATGACAATTGACAGATGGCGGTAAATTCAAATTGTAATTTTTAGGAGTAGGTAGTAGTTTTAAATTAAATTTTAAATGATTTCCACATAAATTATTTTATAAAATAAAGTATGGAACTAGTAAGTTCGAAACTTTTATTTTACAAAATAATTTAGGTCGATTATACCAAATTTGAAGAATTAATTTGTTATAAGGGGTCTAATGTGGAGAGTTGGTTCTGCATATTTTTATTAAATAAATATAAGATATATCAATAAATAATAAAATAGAACATTCTTAAAATGTTTATTAATAAATTAAATAAATATTATTAGATAAAAATAAATACAAATAATAATACATATTTAACGAATACTTACTTGGAGCAAATAGATATATAATCTCAAATCTTTAAAATACCTATCAATAATGTAAATGTGAAGTAGAGACTAGGATATTACATTTTATTAACACTAAAGTTATATAAATGTCTTTTTAACTGAGGACAAATGTAATATAGGTATTGTATTAAAAGGTGAATCCTTTTAACTATTCATTCAATGATAAATAGGTATTTTCCTTCCAAATACAGATGGTGATACAGATTTCGGAATCTAGTCCAGTGATAAATTGATTATCAATTAGTTGTTGTCCCCGTTTGTCTTTTTATGATGCAGATGCATGGTGAATATATGGTGAATCAATGAAGTTTTCAACGTAGCACCAAAATTATTGCAAAACACAGTAGGAAATAAAAAAGCGAAACATCACAATTTTGCAAATAACTAAGACGAAACTATAAACAGAAACCAAAAGCCAAAGCCAACAAAAAATCACTAAAATCAGACGGAAAAATGAAACTAACCAAGAACATAAATAAATACACGTCACATCTTTGTAGTCTTTGGTTTTTTCTCCCATAAGGCTTAAAAATGGAGTAAGAAATCATAATTTCACCAGTAGCCCCATCTAGAGTTTGGAGCAAATAGCATAAAAAATGTCAGTTGTCGGTTTTGACCTTGGTCATTCACGTGGAACCTCTATGTGCTTTGTGGTATGGACGGTATCGAGCACGACAAAAACAAAATAAGGTGCAGCTTATGCGTTTGAAATAACTCTAATGTCATGAAAGTTTATGGAAACTGACAACATCGCTGTCGTCTTATTTGCGACGGTGGCTCCAAGTAGTATGGCTGGGAACTACCACTTGTTACCAGTGCCGTGCATTTAAACGGTTTATCTTTTAATATTAATTTATCTATGCCTAGCGATGTGTGTTAGCCAGAGACGGCCTCGCTCAATAAATTTATCATCATAAGCTATATTAGTAAGTGATTACGTACTTTGTGTTTTACTATACTCTGTTTTTAAACTAGGAGGAGCGAATTGAAAAGACGCATTTACACAGGGAAAAGTAACTAGATTTGTTACTAAGAGCGAGTTTCGAAATATATTCGTGTTCAAAATTTATGAAATAATTATCTTTATCGGCCTTAGTCGGTGAACGGCCAATGAGCGGTTAAGAAACGAATAAATGTTATAGAAGTAATTTTTTAATTGGTCCCAGACAACGGTCTTAAATTTCACATTATTGTGATCTGAAATGTGTGTCTAAAACGAAATGTCACTGTCAAATTAAAGTCAATATGGTTGTTGATTGATATCAGAAATACTTTTTTCTTGCTTTTGAAATCGACTTTTTGAGAATAACTATGATCTTTTTAAAATGGATATTAAATATTTCAGAAAATTGTTAATGGAATATCCAGATGTAGCCAGGTTAGTATAAAATATAAAGATCTGTTTACATTTTTAAGGATATATTTGTTATAGGTATAAAAAGTAAAAGTTAATCAGTGAATGACAAGTGGATCACACAGTAACTGGTATCTCTTCTATGAGTAATGTGGATATTATGGCTTATTTAGTGTTAACCCATGGTTAATGCGCTAGAGGGCAAATAAAGGCATTCAAAAGTTTACAGGCCTATGAGTCAGAATTTGTTTTGAAAACTGGAACCAACATTTTCATAACACTACATGTCAACATATATTTTTTAAAGTGAACTATTCACACATACCTATGTATTAATTTTAAGTATTTTTAAAATATTTTTTGTGAAAGTAATGTTAACTCATTGTGCCAAATTAAGATTGTCCCTAAAGTAGTAGATGGTGTTTTAAATGTTATAACAATTTTGTAAATAGTTTTATTCTATTCTAATAAATAAAATTTGCTTGAATATTTAGTTACATTTTAATCATTTTGGTTAGAAATTTATCAATTTTTAGTTTTAAAAAATCAGTAATAAAATTATTTTTTTCTAAAATACTTCGGAATTTATCTCTTCATGGTAATCTCCCATCTTTTTACCTTCAAAAAACAATAATGCCTTTTCTACAAAATCTTCAGAATCAGCATGTAAAATAATAAGGTGTCTTCCCTTTCTTGTAAGGCTTTTCAGGAATTGCTACCTTTAATAGTACTCAGTGTAGAAGGATCCATAATTGTAGATTTTCAATACAATTGCTTACTGAAGAACTATTATTTACGAAATAAAGTAAAAAACTAAGTAATGGATGAGATATCAAATTATAAAATGTCAGAACTGTCAACAATATCAATTATTAGCTGATGTTCATGCTAAAAGATAATGTGTGAAACTGACTGTAATCTGACCAATCAGAAGGCTACAGAATTGCCAACTTATATTCAAATCGCTCCTCTTAGTTTAAAAACAGAGTATAATAATGACATTGATGGTAGACCTATAAATTTGTTTATATATTTTATTTCTATTATTTTCAAGATTGCTTGTATTCATTTAAAAATTAAAAATAATTTGGTTACATGCCTTTAAACTACTTTTTTTCGACTTATAAACAATATTAAAAAGAAAATGTCAAAGTCAATAGTTTGCTTTTGTTAAAAGTACGTCACAGTAATATAGCATATTAAAGGATAATTTTTATTTTACGGTAACAATATAAAAAGATAAATATGTAATAAACTATTAATAATATCAAGAAAAATATTTTAACCTTTTTTCACAGCGGTAGATAAGTAAAAATATATACTAATTGTTGATTGTCTTTTCTTAGAGGTCAATAAAACTGTTTTGCATTGGTATATTTCTGAACAGTGGTGCAGATTTAAACTATCTTAGATTTATGGGAGTTTTGCAACGATTAGGTATAGCCTATTTTGCTGTTTCTGTAATATGCATATTTTGTATGGATAGGACAAACAATGGATATGAAAAAGAATCAAAACTGGTAAGAAACATCGATATTGTCTTAAATTCGAAGTTTCTTTACTTTTATTACATTTATTGTTTATATAAAATATTTTTTTCCATTCCTTCCTCTATTTCAATGCTTGCTCATGAGTGTATATTATCTTTTAGGCACACGTAATTGATATATTAAAACTGTGGAAAGGCTGGATAATAGTTCTGGCAATTCTGGTATTCCATACCATCCTAACGTTCACCATAGCAGCACCCGGGTGTCCAAAGTACGTTCTTGCTACAAAATCACCGAGTAGCTTTAATTTTCTTGTATTTTTTAGAGGATATTTGGGACCAGGAGGCCTCCACAAAAACGCATCTTACTTTGATTGTGTAGGAGGAGCAACTGGATATATAGACGGGTTGATTTTGGGTAAACATAGGTACCAGAATCCAACAATTTTTTATGTTTACGAAGCCAAACCTTTTGATCCAGAAGGAATTGTAGGTAAAAACAGATTTATTGACGATAAAGTATGACAGCTAGAAGAACAAATAAGATACACCATTATAATAATAATTGTTTGATGTTATAGGCTGCTTGACAACAATATTCCACTGTTTTATTGGAGTCCAAGCTGGAATAACCCTTTTAACATTCAAAGGACATTTTGAACGCTTGACCCGTTGGTTATTATGGGCCGTAATCACTGGAATCGTTGGTGGGGCCTTGTGTGGATTCACTAAAGAGGAAGGTTTCATTCCTGTCAATAAAAATTTGTGGTAAGAGCATCATCGTTATTTAAACGAATAGATAGACAGACTTTATTTTATTCTATTTAAATAATAATGAATTAATATTTTAGGTCACTGTCGTTCGTTATGGCGACATCATGTTTCGCTTTCTTTATGTTAAGCGTTTTCTACGTACTCGTCGATTACAAGAAATGGTGGACTGGTAAACCGTTACTATTCGCTGGTATGAATGCCATTTTAATGTATATAGGGCATGAAATGTGTGACAATCATTTCCCAGTAAGGTGGTACGTTCACAATTACAGCAATTTTACTGAAGCACCGAGAAGAACTCACTTTTTGGCACTGCTATCTGATGTTTGGGCCACCGAAATTTGGGTATTGGTGTCTTATTATTTGTACAAAATAAAATACTTTTTTACTGTGTAATCTTTTTATATAGATACAATAAAAACATCATTTAAATAATAAATTTTTTGTAAAATTTTTAGTACCGTTTCCTTACCAGTGATACGCCAAAGTATTTGGTACCACACGGACCAACGACGAACAACTACTAGACTAATTTTGTTTACAAAAATCGAATTGTAAGCATTTACGGTATCATCCAAGTAGTTGTCAAATTATTATGAGAGAGTATGGGAGAATATTGGTCCAAAAATGTGTTTATGGTTATAAGTCAGTATTGACTAAACATAATGCTCTAAAGCGCATAAAAGAATTTCAAAATTCCATTAGGGAAGTATATTTGCATCCTTAAGGCCAGTTATTATAAATTTAACACGTATTTTTTTGGAAAAGTACGCAATTAATTTTGAAGTGTCACAGCAAGCGTTGTAGATGTTAATTCGCGATCCAAATTAATTTTCGCGCGCCTGTCATTTGTCACCTATAAGTAATATTTATTAATTTATTTACATTTTTTGTTTTGGTCGTGATTTTGTATTTGTGATTTTTTTATTGTTTTTAGATAATATTATTAAAAGTAATACCATAAAAGGGGAGAATTTTTTGAGAACATTTTGTTGTTTCTTTGGAAATTATGCGTTTAAATTTCACGAAACAAAATCCTCCTTAATTTGTAAGGAAACAACAAAATGTTTTCAAAAAAAATTCCTACCTTATGTGATGTTTGAAAAGATTATTTAACAATATAAACATAACTTCTACGGACAGCATTTGCTTTGTTTCCATTATGAAGACTAGAGAAAAGGAGGCGAATCGGCAATGGTCAAATTTCAAATTTCCGTCCTTCTTTTTATAAAGTTCGCGAAATTGACTGTAGTTGACATGTCTAATGACAGCGGTGTCAATTTTCTATGTAAGTCAATGTAAAATGAAGTGATTTTTTAAAAAATTGGTGAAAATAATCAAAATAATGTGAAAAAAATTACCTGAGTACAAGTAGTATGAGTAAAGAAAACAACAAAGCAAGATTTACGTCGTTCCAAATTGTAAAACAGTATAAAAATCAAATGTAAAACTAAATAAAACACAAGAAGAAATGAATTCAATGTCTTTTTTTTTGGACCCCAATTGTGCCATTGTAAATGTTTTTTATAGGATACTAAACGTTTAAAACAGTGGCAGCATATATATCGTTCCTAGTGCCGATAAAGCACTTTCTAGAGATGATGCTGTTCTATACTTTTTAGAAAATATTATCAAATAGTATAAGACTATTTTTACTGATGGTACTGTTAGCAAAATAAAAAGGGGAAAGCTGAAATTAAAGGATGAGGTAATACCATGTACATTTCCAAATCTCCCTTTATACTTGTATTACAACAATAAAAAATCTGTTAACTGTGTTTTATTTTACTCTTAAACTATATATTGGTTCAATTTAGAAAAAATGCGCAGCTTTCTGAGTGCCTTTTAAAAGGAGATAGAAAACTCCGCCATTTTGAACCCTTATTACGTGTTGCCTACACCTTGGCGCAATATTTTTAATAGGTGCGTTTTAATCATCCGCTCCTGCTTCGGAATTGTCGGTTTTCTTGTTTTAATCTGACAGGTTAAAACGACTAAACCGACAATTCCGGAAACAGAAGCGGATGATTAAAACGCACTTGATATTTTGCTTGCTGCTGTCAGTGTCAGTGAATATAATTTTTGGAGTCACAGTTTATTGCTAAAGAATCAGTTAGCTCACTCGGACCAGTTTAAAGTTCCAAAATAATATCCACTCCAGGGATACAAATTCAGGATACGCAGAAGACTGCTGTTTTATTATAGGCGGTTGTCATATATTGTATTATCCGAGTTGCGCAGTGTATAAACTGGAACATGGAACAGATGAAAAGTGCCGACGCAGAGTGAGCGATCTGATTCTTTAGCTGTAAACTGTGTCATAGGAATCAAAATGGCCGCGCCCTATGTTGGGCGTGTAGGACCTCTCTCTTGCCCCGTATAGTAATCAAAGTATGTGGTGCGACCATTCTCCGTATAGTAAAAGAAAATCAAAGTATGTGTAAAGAGAGGACTCATAACGCCGCTGAAAATCTTGTTCAATTTTGACACCAACGATATTCGACCAAAGGCGTAACGTGTTGGAAATAAAAAAACGAACTTGTATTTATGTTATTAGTACTTTATTGATCTTTTTAGATATAAAGCAAGTTCAAGGCGTAAAATTTAAAATAAATAAGACAAGTGGTCCTATGATTGAACGTTTACGTTATCCGTAACGTACATGTTAGGCCGAATTTTAAAAATAACGAGGCAAGTTCGGTTGATGGAAAACTGTTAAATTAGAACATAACAGGTGGAAAATAACAGTAACGTGTTGGAAAAAGTTTTCCATCATACGTACTTGCCTCATTACTGTTAAAACTCGGCCTAACATGTACGTTACGGATAACGTAAACGTTCAATCATAGGACCCAAGAACAAAAAATATTTTGAAATAAATTGAATGAAATCGTTTACATAATAAAATGAGTGTTTTTTTTTAAATTCCGCAAAATAAAACATAATGATCTACATTACAAAAAGATTTATTTTTAGTTAATAATGAATGACACTACCCAGAGTGACGTTTTGAAGATCTACGATAATATCCAAAAGGTGTTTTAAAGGCGTCTATAGGACGTACATTGTTACAAAACAAGGCGTTTTTAGGACATCCAATTGTGTAAGTCTTTAAAACATCCAGTTTCTTACGTCTTTAAGACAAATCGTATTGGACGTGTTTAAGCCTTCTATTTACTTGATGAAAATTCTGTTAAAAAAATAAATGAATACTTGTCTACTATATTTAATACTGTTTATTATACATTATTAAACTATTAAAACTAACACAGAGTAAATATTCAAGTACTTGTTGCTATGAGAAACTATTTCCGGAAATCCAACTTTTTCCAGTTTGGTCGATTTAAAAACTTCGTTAATGGTATTAATTTTAGCCAAAACGTCTGTAACTAATGTCCCCGTAGCATATAATTTTGTTGAATTATTGTTTTAAGGTGTTTTCCTAAAAAATAAAACATTAAAAAAGTGAGAAAAAAATAAATTGAAACTTACCGTTTTTAATGATAAAGTTTACTAGTTCCGGTATACTTAAGTTCCAATAATGGCAAATAAATAATATAAAAAGACAATATATAAAAACACACAAACACGAAAAAGTAATGACAATTTCCACAGACTGACGCTAAAAATATTATACATATTATACAAAGAAGACAGCCAGAGGAAGAACACGATTCGATACGCACGCGCGAGACTACCCAATCAGCCAATGACAATGACGATAATAAATGCACTGCAGGCAGCGCCAAGAACGGTGTCGTGGCGCCATATTCAAATATAGCGAAAAGAGTTGAAGGTCCACATTATCTACATATTTAAAACGTCCTAAAAACATCCCAACAAAGACGTTTTACGTTTGGACGAAAGTAAGATATGAACTGGACGTCTTTAAGATGGATATTATTAAATTAAGCTATCAATTATTTCGGTAATGTTTTGAATTATACACAAAAGGGTTGCTAAATTCTTAAAAGTTCATAACATAATAATAAAAAGTACTTAATTAAAAAAATATATATGTTTAATTATGTTTTTATGTTTATTTGTATACACACCTTCTTCGGCTGCACGTATTTAGGGAATTTAGGAAATGTAGTGGGAACTGCTCCATTTAGTAAACGTCTTTTACAGTCCGTCCCATAAAAAAAATGTCTCAAAATGTTTTGAACACAATCTATCATTTGGCGTAGGCATCCAATTTGCAATTTTCGTTGCTTGAATCCAAAGATTTTTTTGCTCGATCCAAAGGAAATCTAAAATAAAACAACAAATAAACATTGGCTGCGTTCATCCGCGCCATTTCAAGGAGCGCTACAAAAGTAGCGCTCACTTACGCTACCTGATCGATCTTTATGCACGGATGAACCATGTTTAAAAGTGACATTTCATTGTGGTTTATTCCATGGTGTTTATTCATTTTACTTTTGAGTTGAATGTCTCTGGTTGAAGATTTGTTTGTTTATTTGTGGTTTGTTTATTTATTTTTCAATTGCTAATATAACCCTACTAAGACAGATCAGTGATCACCGATCAGACGTAAATAAAATGCGTTAATGGCGGGCGCTCCTTGAGCGAAATGTCAAAATACACCGTTCATACGTGCCACTCGAGAGCGCTACCAGATCGTTCAGGTAGCATGTGGCGCGGATGAACGCAGCCATTGCTGCAATTAAATAAAAAGCAAAAGTAAATTAGAATAAATAAAATGCAATGCTACGCTTATATTTTTGATATTATCGACAACTGATCATGGGTCCTATGATTGAACGTTTACGTTATTTGTAACGTAGATGTTAGGCTGAGTTTTAACAGTAAGGAGGCAAGTTCGTACGATGGAAAAGTTTTTCCAACACATTACTGTTATTTTCCGCCTGTTATGTTCTAATTTAACAGGTTTCCATCATACGAACTTACCTCGTTACTTTTAAAATTCGGTCTAACATGTACGTTACGGATAACGTAAACGTTCAATCATAGCACCCATTGGGTCCTATGATTGAACGTTTATGTTATCCGTAACGTATATGTTAGGCTGAATTTTAAAAGTAACCAGGCAAGTTCGTATGATGGAAACCTGTTAAATTAGAACATAACTCTAGGAAAATAACAGTAATATGTTATGAAAGACTTTACATCATACGAATTTGTCTCTTTGCTGTTAAAACTCGGCCTAACATGTACGTTACGGATAACGTAAACGTTCAATCATACCACCCATTGGGTCCTATGATTGAACGTTGACGTTATCCGTAACGTACATGTTAGGCAGAGTTTTAACAGTAACGAGGCAAGTTCGTATGATGAAAAACTTTTTCCAACACATTACTGTTATTTTCCGCCTGTTATATTCTAATTTAACAGTTTTCCATCATACGAATTGCCTCGTTAATGTTAAAATTCGGCCTAACATGTACGTTACGGAT